AAAAAAAAATAAATAAATAAATAAATCTAGGTGTGATAGAATTGCCTAAGGGTAAAAAAAGTTAGTTTTCTATAAAGACCATTAGGTGGCCTAAAACAGCTTTGCAGCTGTCTGGGTAGCCAATGAGCAGGAAGGGAAAACACAACTAGCTGTTCAGTTGTCCCAGGATAAGAAATGGCTTGAAGGATGCGTTGTAACAAAGAGTTATTTGACAAGAATGACACACTTAAAACCCAGAGGATAGCTGCCATAACCATATTAGTTGATCCCAAACCACAGCTATCATTTAGAATACTCTAGACATACTGAATCAGAACTTCTAGGGATAGGACCCTGGAATCCTTTTTTTTGAGACAGAGTCTCACCCTGTCACCCTCTGTGCCATGGTGTTATTGCTCACAGTAACCTCAAATTCTTGGGCTTGAGCAATCCTCTTGCCTCAGCCTCCCAAGTAGCCTTGGGCTTAACTAGGACTACAAGCCCCCACCACAATGCCCAGCTAGTTGTTCTACTTTTAGTAGAGACCAGGGTCTTGCTCTTGCTCAAGCTGATCTTGAATTCCTCAACTTGAACAATCCACCCACCTTGGCCTCTCAGAGTGCTAGGATTACATGTGTGAGCTACCGCACTCCACCCCTGGAATCCATTGTTAATGGTTCTGATGTATAATTAAGTTTGGAAACAACTGAACAAGCACACACTCTTGTATATTTGTAAATACCCAACTACATTGGAGTAGTGGGGACAATGATATAGGAGTGACTAACCCCTCACTCATGATAACATAATCTGTCCTATAAATACTAACAGCAATTCCTTGAGCTTCACTTTCTAAAGGTTTTGTTTGTTTTGTAAGGACAGAAAATTACTCTGTTTTAATTACCTTCTTCCAACATAGAAAAATGTCCTTGTTTTCTTTTTTTTTAAATAATAGACTTTTTAGAGCAGTTATAGGTTTATGTCATTTGACAGGCCAGGCACAGTGACTCACGCCTATAATCCTAGAACTCTGAGAGGCCAAGGAGGGTGGATGTTTGAGCTCAGGAGTTTGAGACCAGCCTGAACCAGACTGAGCTGCCCATCTCTTAAAAAAAAAAAAAAAAAGTCAGGCGTTGTGGCAGGCGCCTGTAGTCCCAGCTACTTGGGAGGCTGAGGCAAGGGGATCATTTGAGCCCAAGAGTTTGAGGTTGCTGTGAGCTATGACGACGCCATGGCACTCTACCCAAGGTGACAAAGTGAGACTTTGTCTCAAAAAAAAAACTCATTTGAGTATCCCTACCAACAACTCCTAGAATCACTGTTAGGATGAAAGTCAGAAAGACATTTTCATGCAGTGACAGGTCTGTATCCTTTTCAACTAACCATACATACCGTTCCTGAACAACTTTGGAGTAAGCCCCAGCATTCAGTGTTTTTCTGATGAAGTCACAGAAGTGAGAGCTCTCTCCTGGGCATCGAGGGAGTCCAAAAACACCTGCAGTAGTAGGCAACAAACATCCCTTGCTTCAATAATCATGTACTGAATACCTACTATGTGCAAAGCAGTATGAGAAATAAAACCAACAGGACTAAATCCTGATCTCGTTCATTTCCTCTTCATGAAAATAAAGCATAGAGAACCAGTCCTACAACCAGCTTCCTCCTCTCCTCTGCCTGAGGACCCACACACCTTCCCACTCCTGGGTAACTACTGCCTCGCCTTTGTATCACATGGCTGGACCCACTCCCATCTCTCGAGTCTTAGGTGAGAAAAGTTATATCTGACCACCCCTCTCAGACAGTGCCCACCTGCTTTCCTCCCCCTCCCCCAGTTACTCAGCATCCTCAGCAGTAAGACTGTTCTGAGTACGAGGCACAGTTCTCAGCATACATTGACAACAATTAATTTAATCCTCACAGCCACTTGGTGGAGTAGATTATCATTACTTAGCCTATAGCACTGATAGGAAACTTGAAAACAGAGAGGTTAATTACCTTGTCTAAGGTTAGACAATAAGGGACAGAGCCAGAATTTGAACCTAGGCAGTCTGGCTCCAGAGCCCACACCTTTAACCAGTACAACCACTAGTCTGTCCCTCAAACAATAACGTGCTTCGTTGTTTTTTTTTTTTTAATTTTTGTTTTTTAAGAGTCTGAGTCTTGCTACATTCTCCAGGCTGGAGTGCTATGGCTATTCATAGCTGCTATCATAGCTCACTGCAGCCCTGAACTCCCGGGCTGAAGTGATCCTCCTGGCTTGGCCTCCTGAGTAGCTGGAATACAGGGCATGTGCCACTGCATCTAGATTCTTTTTATCAGAGTTACCATTATCTGTACCTAGCTTTTTGTTTACTTGTTTCATGTCTATTCTTCTACCACTCAAATGGAAGTTTCATGAAGGCTGGGCATATAATAGGTCGTCAATAAATTTTTTGTTCAATGGCCGGGCGTTGTGGTGGGCGCCTGTGGTCCCAGCTACTTGGGAGGCTGAGGCAGGAGACTTGCTTGAGCCCAGGAATTGGAGGTTGCTATGAGCTGTGATGCCATGGCACTCTACCCAGGGGGATAGCTTGAGGCTCCGTCTCCAAAAAAAAAATAAATAAATAAATAAATTTTTTGTTCAAGCTGTTGCCCTGGGTAGAATGCCATGGTGTCATCATAGCTCACAGCAACCTCCAGCTCTTGGGCTCAACCACTCCTCTTGCCTAACTTCTTCTATTCTCACTCTTGCTCAGGCTGCTCTCAAAATCGTGAGCTCAAGCAATCCACCTGCATTGGCCTCCCAACGTGCTAGGATTACAGGTGTGAGCCACCACACCCAGCCAATAAATATGTTTTGAATGAATGAATAATAAAGGTATTCTATCAACTTACACTTCTTTTTTTTTAAACAGAGTTTTTCACTCTGTTGCCTCAGGCTAGAGTACCATAGTGTCAGACTAGTTCACAGTAACCTCAAACTCCTATCTTCAAGCGATCCTCCTACTTCAGCCCCCCAAGTAGCTGGGACTATAGATACCTGCCAGAAGGCCTGGCTAATTTTTCTATTTTTATTAGAGATGGGGTCTACTTGCTCAGGGTGGTCTCAAACTCCTGAGCTCAAGAGATTGCCCTAATGTGGCCTTCCAGAGTGTTAGGATTATCCGCCTGAGCCAGCATACCTAACCAACACTTACACTTTTTAAAAGTATTTTCCTACCTATAATTTCACTTCATCCTCTGCAAAATTCCTGGAATGGGTAGGGCCATATTTAGGTTTCTTCCATCTAGGAGAAGGATCCAGGACACCAAAGTACATGTCCATAAGAAACAGTTAATTGGGGCTTGGCGCTTATTGCTCAGTGGCTAGGGCGCTAGTCACAATACACCAGAGCTGGTGGGTTTGAACCCAGCCCAAGCCTGCCAAACAACTACAACTACAACAAATAGCTGCGCATTGTGGCGGGCATCTGTAGTCCCAGCTACTTAGGAGGCTGAGGCAAGAGAATCACTTGAGCCCATTATTGGAGGTTGCTATGAGCTGTGATGCTACAGCATACTACCGAGGGCAGCATAAGACTCTGTCTCAAAAAAAAAAAAAAAAAGGAAAAGAAAAAGAAAGTTAATTGGGTGAATCTGGGTTTCCTCATTATAAGGAGAATTCTTCTGCTCACCCACTATACCAGTTAACAGCTATAACCATCACAATAGAGAGAAAATTCTATTCCAAAGATATATCCTTCTTTTTTTTTTTT